GATTTAATTTCTTAGAAATGGCATCTTCCCTCCATTTATGGATTTCTATCGTGACCTTTTTGCAAGTGATCATGCATTAATTCATTGTCGCCTTCCAGTTGGGATTTCCGCAAAGTCAACAGCACATCGTAATATTTTTGACTTTGCTAATATTAACAAGGAATTAGTAAATAATGTTACACGCACTCTTGATTAGCATAATACTTTTTCAATTAATGATCGAAATTTATTTTAAAAATTTATTATGCGTAACAGAATGTCTTCTTGACCTTGGTCCACAGAAGACGTTTAAATCGAGTGCCACTTCCAACGCTGTCCCACGACAGTTCGACCATCCATTTCGATGATGTCCACCGTGTGCCCCACAGTTGCAGCAGTAATGGGAGAAGGGGCGGTGACTTACGCAGGGGTTTTATAGTGCCGGTAGACTTGCGTCGCATCCACCTACACACTCTCCTCCTCCCTCGCCAGAGCCGGGTGTCAAGACAGAGTCAAAAAGACCGGAGACGAGGGAGGTCGCAGGTGGATGGCTCGGACGGATCCTCACCTTGGCGTTCCACCACACCCCCTGGTCTACACAACAAATAACCAGGATTTCAACCAACACAAGAGAGATTCGGAGGCTGGCACGGCCGAAGCCGCACCTAGGCGTGCCGCCAACGCCTGGCTCGGATCCCACATTGTGGTAGGAGTGACATAAAGGCCATATTAAAAAGGAGCCATTGCAGCCTGACTCTCAGACCGCCTCCAGTGAAGGAGGAGGTCCAAGCGACCCCGTCAGTTGGCAACCTTCCAAGGCACGGCTTTTAGCGCACCGTGATAGCTTCAAGCGCGTCAGATTGTTTATAGTGAGGAAAATGCGCTGAGTTGTCGACCCCACTCTCCCTTCCCATCCCCACACCCCAGCAACTGTCCGAGCCGGTCAGCAGACTGGAGTGGGGAATGGACGCGGTGGCTGACATGGTCGACCGACCATGACGGCGCGCGCCACGGCACGACCTGGCCCCCCATACACACAAACACCAGGATTTCACACAACGGGGGTTGAGCGGCTAGACTCTCGCTTGCGTGAGAGGGCCGTGGAAGGTGCTGCTTCAGACCGTCCCCAGCCCACCAGTCCGCCACTACACACAACGCAACGAGCTGCGTGAATCGAGAGCGGGCGTCAGTCAGCAACCTTCCTATCCACGACGCTTGACGTGTCGAGAAAGTCTCGGACTCAAGTCACCCGTGCAGCCGAAGCCGCATGGGGAACGAGTCGAGATGCAAACTTCCAAATTGCGTGGGAGGTGGCAGTTTGGTGCATGTGGTGTGTGAGTGTTGATGTCTGGTGGGGTGATGGTGGTGGTGGTGGGAGGTAGGGAGTGAGTGAATGTGTGGTGTGCCCGGCGGTTGTCTACCGCAGGTCGTCGTGGATGCGCATGTGGCCGAATAGGCCCATGCGCTGCCTGAAGGTGCGAGGGCAGTGTGGGCAGTTGAGACGAGCTTGGTGGGTAAAGGTTGGTGCTCCAGGCACTGGTTCGCCAGTCTCTGTGCGATGGATTCGAAAGTGACCGACCGGGCCGATGCGTGAGGTGAATGTACGTGGACAGTGTGGTCATGAGAAGTCGGCGGTGTCGGTGTCAGCTGTAGAGGAGGTGGTGGGGGTAGTGGTGGAGCAGGCGGATGGAGCGAGGGTGGGGGTGTGCACAGTGGATGTGTTGGATTTAATTTAATTTAATTTATTAAATGCCAGTTTACAGGCATTGTCAAGGGAAACGAATGAAACACAAATCCGACCAGCAGTGAAAAAAACTCCTGAGGTAAAGGGATAAAAATAAAGCTGATTATGGTTTTAATGATTTGAAGGGTTCAGGAGAAAAAAACTGCTGGCCGTAGATTTTCGACCGTCAAAAAGAGGGGGGGTGGAGGTTGCACGGTATCGGAGATCATCGGACGTCAATTCCTTTCATGAAGTTAGGGATAGTCAAAGTAGAGGTGTTGAGGAACAGCTCGTGAGACCGGCCATAGTGTTCAGAGACCACAAACGCCATCGCTACGGTAGAGTCGATCAGTGGATTCAGAACCCAAAATTTGAGGGAGCTTTTCTGAATGCAAAAATCGAGTAATACTTAGATAGATAGATAGATAATTTTTATTAAAGACCCGTCGGGGTCCCATCATAGCAAGTTAAAATACATTAACATGCGAGTTTTAGACGAGGTAGGCCGAATCTTTACAAAATGCAATTCATAGTTTCTGAATTGTAAGTCCATTGAGAAATATGATGATACTTTTGCAGAGTTTTCACACTCATTGGTAGTTTATTCCAAATAGCAATTGCATTTACAGAATAGAACCGACGATATTTAACAGTACCTTCCAGAGGCAGAAATAAAAAGACCTCACGGTGACTGTTACGTCGTGGGTGGATATGATGTCTTAAAGAAGTGAGTGGGTTAAATGTGTGATTATATGAGTTTAGATAGCGAAAATAAGAAGTAGAGAGTGCATAAGTAAGAGGCTTGTGGTCAGTATAAACACAAAAATCTCAGATCTCAATATAATTACGAAAATGCTTAATGGCTAAATAAATTGCAAGAAGTTCTCTGCCAAAAGTGCTATAGCGAGTTTGTGGGGGCGTCAGTTTGGCAGATTAGAAAGCCAAGGGCTGGGTGCCAGTGCTCATCTGTTGCTGAAGGGCAGCGCCTGTAGCGAAATTGAAGGCGTCGGCCACAATTGAGCGTGGGGCATCAGTTATAGGGTGAACAAGGACAGTTGTATCCGCAAGAGCCTTCCTGGTACCACTGAAAGGCTCAACAGTCCTAGAAATTCACGCCTCCCTCGCGAGCCAAATCGATGATTGGTCAACTAACTGAACTCCTGAACCTACTCAAGCGAAACAGTGCTATATCGCTAGACGAATGGCGACAGATGAAACCAACGGACACGGCACTGTCCCGGTTTTATGGATTACCCAAAATCCACAAGCCCAATGTTCCCCTTCGACCGATCGTTGCCTTGAAAGGCAGCCCCACTTACAATCTATCCAAGTGGATGGCCCGAAAACTTAACTTTCACCGAGAAGGCTCATGGACCTCCATCAATTCGGCCTCCCAATTCCTGGCCGACATCCGAGGAAACGTTTTCCTACCGGAGCAGATTATGGTGTCCTTTGACGTGGTTTCATTATTCATAAAACGAACAGTATTCCAGACCAGGTCTAACGTACATGTTGTAAAGGCGCATTCTGATGTCCCCAGTTTTAAAGTTTCGGAGGATAAACCCGGTCGTTCTACGTGCTTCGGAGACTATCAAGGCACAGTGCTCCGAGAGATTGCGACTCTTGGAGTATGATACGCCCAGATCCTTAATAACCCCAGGCACATTTATGGAGTGACCTTCAATAATTAGTTGAAGTTGTCAGTCGTCGCCAACCACAATGTCTACGAATTTATAGCAATAAACGGAAAGGCGGCAACAGTGGACAAAGGCCTGTAGGTCGCTCTTTGGGAGCTCAAGCACGATGTCATGATCTGCCGACTTATATCGATATGCAACTTTCAGATCATCCGCATACATGAAAGGTTTATCATTCTAAAATAAATCGAGTACATCATTAACGAAAAGGCGAAATAAAAGTGGGCCGAGTTCGCTACCCTGAATGACTACACTCCTCACACGTGTGGGGTTGGTAAGCATCGTCAATACAATCAAAAGCCTTAGTGAAATCGAAATATACAGTGTAAAGTGCAAAACCATTGTCCCTAGATTGGAGAAGATTGTCAAAGAAAGAGAGTTGACAGGTGTCACAAGATCGAGCTTTGTGGAATCCATGCTGAGCAGCACTCAGTAAGTTATTCACTGTTAAGTGACACATCATTTGTGTGGTGGGTGTATCGAGAGTGCGGTCAATTCCGCTCTCATGGATGCGCATGTGACCGAATAGGCCCATGCGATGCCTGAAGTTGCGCGGGCAGTTTGGGCAGTGGAGGCGATTGCGGTAGGTGTAGGTTGGTGCTCCAGGCACTGGTTCGCCAGTCTCTGTGTGATGGATTCGCAAGTGACCGACCAGGCCGATGTGTGAGGTGAAGGTGCGGTCGCAGTGAGGGCAGGTGTAGTCCTGATCCTCATCGCTGGAGTCGGGGGAGGTGGTGATGGTGTCTGTTGTTGCGCCCGGGACAGTCGCCTGAGCGGTCGTCGTGGGAGCAGTGGATGAGGATGAGGGGGA